ATCCTAAATTGCATTAACAGAGGAATATAATCAAGATCAAGTGAGGTACTAACATCATTCTGTAAAGCCTTAGTAAGACCACACATGGATACTGCATCCAGTTTTGGTCACCACACTATAAAAAAGATGTTGAGACTCTAGAAAAAGTGCAGAGAAGAGCAACCAGAGTGATTAGGGGACTGGAGACTAAAACATATGAAGACCGGTTACAGGAACTGGGCATGGAGTCTAGTGAAGAGAAGGACCAGGGGAGACATGATAGCAATGTTCCAATATTTGAGGGTCTGCCACAGAGAGGAAGGGGTTAAGCTATTTTCCAAGGCACCTGACAGCCAGACAAGGAATAATGAATGGAAACTGATCAAGGAGAGATTCAACCTAGAAATAAGGAGAAATGTTCTGACAGTGAGAACAATCAACCAATGGAACAGAAGTTGCTTTCGGAAGTTGTAGGAGCTTCATCACTGGAGGCGTTTAAGAAGAGATTGGACTGCCATTTGTTAGAAATAGTGGCTTGGGTGGGGGGTTGGACTAGATGACCATAAGGTCCCTTCCAACTCTATTAATCTATAAACCGCCACTGAAATCCTATCAGCAGAAAAGAGTTTAATGATTTATGGAGGCAAGTAGATTCCATCATGCTAATGTGTAGCATCCCATTAGAAAAATATCTGTAGTAATATGTAATTCTAAGTCAACAATTTGCATTCATATTCTTCTGTAAATAAGAAATACTGTGAGGAAATTGGCATCTCAGAAACTGACTGGCACTTGATCCCTGTGTCTCTGTCTTATAAAGAGAAGTACATAACTATACCCTCTATTTTCTGAGTAGAAAATAGGATATGGTTCACTTGCTGCAAATAAGCAATAATTGGATCACACGGGTGAGAGCTGGTGGCATTCTAGTGAATTGGTAAAAGCCTTGATTTGTGTTTTCAAGGAGTAGCTGCAATTCAGTAATGAACCCCCTCTTAACTGATAAAATGTTCCCACTTCAATCCGAGCTATCTTCAGAACTCTTTAGATCTCAGCTTCAATGTCTCAATGTGCCAGCAGACTGCAGTCGAGTATTTTCCAGTATTACCCAACCTTGGCAAATTTAAGATTTGTGGACTTCAATTCCCAGAATTCCCCAGCCAACAGAGTTAAAGGCCATATATTTTAAAGTTATTAAGGTCAAGAAACACTGGCTTGGACTCTTAATTCCCCCATTCCTGCCTGTGACTAATGGAAACTGGAGGCAAAGTTTCAAGAAGGCACCACTTTTTTTTTATTATTATTATTATTTATTCAATTTATATACCGCCCTTCTCCTATTGGACTCAGGGCAGTGCACAGCCAAGGATAAAAAACATACCAATACAAAATTTAAAATCAATTAAAAGAATTATACAGCTTTGGCCCACAATTTAAAACAATCCAATTAAAACCCAATTTACACTTAAAAAGCTAAAAAACTAAAAAGAGCTAAAAAGGGGGGGGGTTCACGCCAGCCCTGCTTGATGGAAAAGAAAAGTTTTTAGGGCACGGCGAAAGGCCTGAAGATCTGGTATCCTTCGTATCTCCGGGGGCAAATCATTCCAGAGGGCAGATGCTACCACAGAGAAGGCCCTCCCCCTGGGGGTCGCCAGCCGACGTTGCCTGGCTGACGGCACCCTGAGGAGTCCCTCTCTGTGGAAGTGTACTGGTCGGTGGAGGCTATCGGTGGCAGAAGGCGGTCTCGCAAATACCCAGGTCCGATGCCATGGAGCGCTTTAAAGGTGGTGACCAACACCTTGAAGCGCACCCGGAAGACCACTGGAAGCCAATGCAGCTCGCGCAGGAGAGGCATCACATGGGAGCGCCCTCTTTTCCCATCTGTTCTGACCCAGCTCCCCTCTGTCAGACAAACCCACTGTATTTAAATCAATGATTCCTTTATTAGGAGTGCCAGCAGCCCCAGCAAAAAATTTCTCTCTCAACGCAGGCTAACAAGTCTGCAGGGAGTTGAATAGTTGTCTGCCACATCTATTCATCTCCACCACCTGCCTTTTATCCCCAGAGCTAGGGCGGGGCTTCGCTAGCAGCAGTGGCTCTTCCATCCCAAGGATCGGTCCACAGATTTCCACTGCTCTCCTCTCCTCTGCCTTCTGCACATCCACACGTCAGGCACTGGACCCAGCTGTTCCTCTTCTTCCTCATCAACCACCTCCAGACCTGGAGGCTGTTGACTCTCTATCTAAGGGCTGGCGGATGGCCTAGGCTCCACCTCTGTCTCTCTCTCTGACAGCTCCATTTCCTTTTCCCACTTGGAGCTATCAGGTTGCCTTGATGCTGATCCTGACTCCCACGCCATCTCCTCATCTGATTCAGCAGCTGGAAGGGCCAACAGGCCACAACACCATCTTTGTTGGAAGGAAGCTCACAGTATTCCAAAATGTATAGGAAAAGGTCATCTATGCCAGGTCTGAAGAAAAGCACATAATTATGACTTTCCAACTACCACACAAATCTCTGAAAAGCAGTCCATTACAGAGGCAACGTCTAAAGATTGCTCTTGTGATATGGAAAGTATCTCTGCCCATGTATGTCCATGTGTTCTCACCAAACATGCCAATCTCTATAGCAATAGCATTTAGACTTATATATTGCTTCATAGGGCTTTGTAAGCCCTCTCTAAGTGGTTTATAGAGCCAGCATTTTGCCCCCAACAATCTGGGTCCCTCATTTTACTGGCCTCGGAAGGATGGACAGCAAAGTTAGCCTGCAATACTGCATACTGTGCTAACACGGCTCTTAAATATATATATACATACATACAGATATATACACAGACACACACAGAGAGAGAGAGTATATGTACACATACATTCATACAGTATACATACACACATACAGAATTACATTAGGCTTTCTTCTGTAAATTATGAATATTTACTTATTTAATTTATGTTGATCCCTATGACACCAATTCTACATGGAAATATGGAATTTTTTCACATTTGGCTTTGATAAGTGTGGAGAAGAGTTTGTAATTTTTCTTGAAATATGTATTAGTGTAAACATAATTCTCTGGATTATAAAAAAATAATATAAACATTAGCAGCATTATTTTAAAACAAAAAAAAATGCATTCATTAACCACCAAGGAAAGAAAAGTATGTAACTCATCCTAACCCTTTAATATTCTTTCTATGTATTTTATTGAACAATAGTAGTTCAATAAACTACTGATTTTACTGATTAACTAGAAGAATATGTGGTTTAATTACATGGCAAAATCCAAAATATTGAAACTGATTCTACTTTTAGAGTGTGTTTATTTCCTGTTTGTGTAGTGTGTTCCAGAGTTTCACTAAATGTCTTAGCAATTTTAATTGGGCTACCAAATTTGCCATATGTCTGCCATTCCACTAACAGCACAAAGAATTAAGCTCAGGAAACTGATAAATATTTTGAAAATTACCTGGCTGTGATTCTTGTGGACCAGCTACAGTTTTAAGGCTAAACATACATGAATTGTAAAATGATCCCCTACCAGCAAAACATCCAAATGAAACTACCATATCATATTCTAATATGAGTCTTTACCAAACTGATATTCTCTAGATGTATCAAACTACATTAATTTTACACCAAAAATAGTCCAGACATCTGGAAAACATTAGCCTGGAGAAAGCTGGTATAAGACACATCAGTCTCTCAGCAATCCAGAGATCTATTTAAAATCCATACTGATTTATCCAACATATGTTCTTCCATATCAGCTCTATGCTCTATAACTGCCTGTTTAGTTAGTGGAGTTAAGATTGCAATATACTTATGAGACCAGAAAAATGGTCAGTTTGCTGGAGAAAGAACCTCAACTGATATAAATATTTGCTATAACCAAGCAGAGCTCTGCTTTTTCTCCTAAAATGCAAGTTTTTAATATATAGGGCTATTCTGTCGTGGAATAATCCCAAGGAATATATTATCTTTATAAGTGAACATTTATAGTGATAAAATAATGTGATATTGTGAGAAACGCTGATGTGCTATCAACACCCATTTTACCATTTGTAATTACCATAATACTACTTTATAATGCCTTGGTAAGGCCACATTTGGAATACTGCATCCAGTTTTGGTCACCATGATGTAAAAAAGATGTGGAGACTCTAGAAAGAGTGCAGAGAAGAGCAACAAAGATGATTAGGGGACTGGAGGCTAAAACATATAAAGAACGGTTGCAGGAACTGGACATGTCTAGGTTAATGAAAAGAAGGACTAGGGGTGACATGGTAGCAGTCTTCCAATATCTCAGGGGCTGCCACAAAGATGAGGGAGTCAAGCTATTCTCCAAAGCACCTGAGGGCAGGACAAGAAGCAATGGATGGAAACTAATCAAGGAGAGAAGCAACCTAGAACTAAGAAGAAATTTCCTGACAGAACAATTAACCAGTGGAACAACTTGCCTCCAGAAGTTGTGAATTCTCCAACACTGGTCATTTTAAAGAAGATATTGGACAACCATTTGTCTGAAATGGTACAGGGTTTCCTGCGTGAGTAAGGGGTTGGACTAGAAGACCTCCAAGGTCCCTTCTGACTCTGCTATTCAATTCAATTCGATTCAATTCAATTCTATATCCTGTGCTGTCTTACTAAAGATTATACACTGGGAATAGCCAATGCAAAGAAATTTCCTTATTCAAAGTCCTATTGGCATTTCCACTAAGACCTTCCTTTCTTCTGTAGAGCTCACAGGAGAGCTATTCTTATCTAGAATGCATCTAGAAAATGGTCCTTTTGTGTCTTTCAATATCAGAGTTTAGATAGTAGTGTTGTATTGCTGCAAGAAAATGTTAACGTTAGATTTGTCCCTTCAAAGACAAAGGCATTTGACTGAGGAACGTCTTCAGATTTCAGGATTTATGTTATAGCTTTCTTAGCAATGATCTCATCTTACTCTTTCATTTCAGTCAACCAAAAAAAGTGTCATGTATAATTAATGCTGTGTTTATTATTACAATTTACAGGCAGGAATGGTATTGAGATGCGGACACTTCTGGATCGGTTTATTGCTCGTGCCCACAGCGTGCCTTGTTAAAGATGTGGCATGGAGAGCGTACGTTATTATTTACATTCTTTTGAAAAATGTTATTTGCTTAAACTTACAATATTTCAGGTTAGTCCTACAGCTGCTAACCCTTAATCTCAGTCCTAAATCACTTAGATGGGTACATAGTGTTAATCAGCGCTAATGGTTCTTTTTAGATACTCTGCAAATATGCAACCATTTATTTTCCTAGACAGCCTTCCATTTCCTCATCTATGAAAGTACATATAACAATGCTTTTTAAATGAATATAGAAGTCAAATTTCACATAGGATGGTATTGAATTATAAATATTTAATGCAAAATTTTATGATTTTCCAAATGAAAATCCTTGTTTGTTTCTAGCTGTTCCCTGCCCTTTTGCTATTGTTTCATCTTAAATAAACAGTATAAATGTATAAATTAATATACAGTATAAATGTATAAATTAAGTATTAAATATTTCAGCTGTTGCAGTGACATGGAGTAGTGGCACATAAGACTGTAGCTTGCATTTGTGACATTCAAATACAAGCAGTATAATCAAAAATGCTCTTAACTTTGTATCTCACTGTGATATGAAGGATGAATGAGCTTCTTGATGCATTGGGTTCCTTACCAACTTTTCCAAAAAAAAGACCATATTTTAAATTTATCGATTGAGTATGGAGCCAATTTTAGAGCCCTCTGCTATGTTTCATTCTGTACAAAGAAAATGGGCCTCTGAAAAGGGAGCAAAATATTATCAGGAAGAAGACAACTTCTTGTGATCTTCTTCAGTATCCCAGATCTTGAAGATTTAGCTATTTTCAATAGTTACTATGGATTAAAAATAATTCTACAATGTGTTCTGATGGAAACAAGTGGATTCATATCATGTAACCTTCAACAGGAGACAGTCCAACTAACATTGTTCTTCTATAGGAAAACAAAATCTGCATCAGAAGATTGGTATTCTTAACTATCTAAAAAGCAGAAGGTGGCTAAGAAATTTATTTCATCTTCTTTTAACTTTTAAATGACCCAGTACCTATAATAGGTCTTGCAAATTGGAGGCCTTTTTTACACTTATTGAATGGCCATGTAAATCATGTACATTTTTCTGTCCATTGCAGGAAGTGCTGAAGAAAGGAAGAAGCTAAATATCTATGGAGATTCTCAGTCATCCAGGTCATAGTTGTCCCAAAGGTGCTTTTTTCAAGAGGCAACTGGACTTTCTTGTTTTTCTTTGAAGATGTTTTGCTTCTCATCCAAGAAGCTTCTTTAGCTCTGACTGGATGGTGGGGAATGAAAGGATTTATACTTTTTGCAGACAGCTGGTCATTTGCATTTTTTTTTTTGGAGTCGGTGGCTTCAATCCTTCCATTCCCCACCATCCAGTCAGAGCTGAAGAAGCTTCTCGGATGAGATGCAAAACGTCTTCAAAGAAAAACAAGAAAGTCCAGTTGCCTCTTGAAAAAGCACCTTTTGGGACAAAGGAAGAAACTGATTACAAAAGCTCATTCTGACAGGATTTTTTAAAAATAGTTTTAAAAAAACCAAACAAACAAACAAACTCGAAGAGATCTATTTGCAGTTTAATTTTTAAAGGTGCAGATCTCTCTGTCATGTCAGTTACTGTATATCAAGTATATCTGCGGGGGTGGGGGGGGTCCCTAAAAAAAAAGTTAGAAAAATATTCTGGACAAGATATCTATCCCCAGAAGAAACACGTAAACACCATCTTTTCCCTCTCATCTTTATTAAGATGATATTAAGCTTCTGAAAATATAAAGAAAAAGAATAATCATATTTCACTGGCAAAGTTTCAGTCATATTTCACTGACCGTGTAAAAAAAAAAATGTATTGTATGGGTGAGACTGTATTGCATTGCTTTTATACTGTAAAATATTTCGATGACCTATTCTAGGGGTGTCAAACTGGCAGTCTGTGGGTCAGATGCATCACATGCAGGCCATACCCACCCCAGCTCCACGAAGGGGAAAAACATTGTGATACGTCACGTGACAGCAGCATGATGGCGCAAGTTTGACACCCATGACCTATTCCATCAGTTACATCCATGATAGTGTCAAAATCTAAAGTAGATTTTGCAGCCACTGCAAAAATACTATTTTTTTTTGCTGTTGGCTTCAAAGTAAAAGTAAAATTCAATTAAATGTGAGAAAATGAAGTGGAATATCAAGACCTCTCTCTCTGTCTCTTTCTCACTCCATCTCCCTCTCTCTTGTACTACTCTATATGGGCTCCAAAACACTGAGAACAAGTAAATGAAAACAAGGAAGTACAGAGACTGTCTTGCTATCCTCCAGCGGATTTCTAGATTTTTCACTGTAGATATACTATCTGAGTATATAGTATGTGTCTGTGGATGTGTGTGAGTATGATATGTGCCCATTATATGCTTAATTTAGTCAACCACTAATTTGAACAAATCTCTCACTGATGTATCTAGTGGCACACTGTCATTCTAACTGGAGCAAATATTACTAAATTTGATTCTCAGAAATATGCATTTGAGATTTCTAAAAATGTTTAATTGCCTAGATAATACGATATTCATTCAGCTTCCAAATTCCAGACTGTCCTATGTAACAGCAAACTATATGTTATCTAAAGAGCTGAGAAGCAGAGCACATAGCTAATACCATACTATGGTCTTATTTCAAATTGAATAATATGGCTGCTGAAACCCAGGACCTTTCATCAGTAAATCAATTGGAGCGAGGGGAGAAAAGAATAATAGATATTCCTCTATTTTTCCTACTTATATCAGTCCTGTACATATCATCAATAAGATTGCAATGCATTTCAGTCCAAATTCAAGATTGGAATCCCTAATCACTCTTTTGGATGACAAGCAGAGGAACTAAAGTTGGGAGTGCAGCCCTTCTATCCTACTTAATCTATAAATTCAATCATTGTGTCTCTTTTGATCACCTCTGGATGAAGGCATTTTTTTGCGGTGGTTGTCCTCCTTCCTCTAGATACAGCTTCAGTCAGTGAGTTGGGTTTTTGAACTCTACAACCCTACATTATAACATATCCCAGGGCTCTATTTTCTCACTTCTACTTAGCAGTTACATAAACCAATGGAAGGGATTATCTGCCACCATGGCACATAATATCAATTGTATGTGGATAATGTTTTGGTGTATATTCTGGCCCTAAGACAAATGATGCTGTTGAGATGCCATTCCAGGGACTGAATGGATTTCTCTGTGAAGGAACAGACTCAATCTCAGCAAGATGGAGTGGTTGTGATTTGAAAGCTGAGACCAGTGATAGCTCTTCTTTGATTCTGGATAGTGTTGTGTTCTTTCAAATTAAACTATTTTACAACTTGTAGCTCATCCTGGGCTCATAGCTCTTAGCCAAGGAGCAGGTGGTTAGAAGGTTTTTGCACAATTCCTATACAGTACTTCAATGGTATCAATTTTGGGACCAAGAAGTGCTTACTCATGCCTTGGGCCATGCCTCATTTGGCCTATGGCACTCTATGTGGGCCCACCCTTGAAGATCATCCAGAAAGTACAGTTGATCCACAACATAATGGCTCATGGAATTTAAGAGTACTTCTCAATTTCCCTGGAGAAAAATCAAAACTATAAGAGCTGCACTAGTTGCCAGTTGACTTCTGAGTGTAATTTAAGGTGCTGGGTGTCATTTTTAAAGCAATACATAGCTCAAGATTTCCATCTCCCAGCAGACTCTATCTGTCAAACACATTGTAGCAGGGATGCTACATCCTTCAAGTTCCATCTTTGAACTTTGAGGGTTATCTTCATGAGCCATGATGATGCATTCATCGAACAGGACATTTAAAATGAATGAAAAACTCAACTTTCTTTAAGTGTGCTTCTAAGAATTATTAGATTTTAGAAATTACTTTTTGTGTGTTAGAGAAGCCCACATAAAGGATGGAACAGATTACTATTTTATTTGTATGAATGTTTCTTATATTTCTGTACACTTATGGCTCCAGCGCTCAAGGCTAACTCAACCACATATGTATTCTTGAAAAGATATTCCTCTTTTTTGGCTGAAATTCAGTTGTACTTTAGCATCGTTTGAAAGATCCAGGACAACCCACAGCCCATTGGCCAGCCTAGCCATTCCTGCTGTCTGACCTTGAACAGGAAACCTGACTCTCATGTAGTCAATGAAAGTTGATGTGTTAGTTTCTTTGTTTTGTGTCTTTCTCCTACGATGCAGGGCCAAGCATTCTTACCGTAAAACTTTGCTGGAGCAGGTTCAAGAGTTGGAAGCTAAATCCAAAGAGCTGAGGAAATCTATGCTGCGTGATAGCAATGGAAAGAGGTGGGATCAATTCCATCTTAACTGGAAGCATGCCAGATCCATTGTTTCCCCTCCTTCTGCCTCTTCATTATTTTTGCCATGCATTGCAATGTAATGGTTACCTTCAGAAGAGCAATGTTATTCATTTACATTTTTTTTTTTTCAAAAAGCTTCCATCTTTCACTGCTCCATCCCTTATCTGTTGATACAGGAGGCCAAATGCAAGGCTCCGTATGTAGTTTTTTGCATGAATAGCTTGTAATATTTTTGTTAGATGTGCTGCCAATCTGAAGTTTTATTTCAACTTGCTTCTTTTTTTAAAAGAAACGTTGGTTTGGCTCGTTATGTTGCGGTTCTGAACAAAAATATATTAAGACCATATTAAAAATCGGGGATAAAGAAGAGCAGATCTATCTTTTCAGGAACATTTTACTGCTACCAGCCCGCTTAAAATGAATCAGATTTATTGAAGAAAGCTAGAGACTTTATTACTGGGTAACTGAGAACTTTGCATTAGTATTTGAGCTCTAATTTATGGATAAGAAAGTATCAACACTCATTCAAAATCTCCAGGATCTGGAAAGCTATTTTAATCTTATTCAGAGATTTGACAGCACAAATTGCTTTTCAGGCTTAGTAGAAAATAGTTTAGAGACAAGAGTGGCTGTTACTGAAACAAAAGTTAAAAGTTTAGTTGACTTAAGTTGACAGTCATCTAAGTTTTGAATTCAAAATAACCTCTGAATATATTAAAATAAATTGATTTATTATGTCCCATTGACGGTTTCAGATATTACCCGATATAAAACATATTATTTAAACATACCAATGTCCTTTTCAGTAGTACAAGAATTATTTCCATACTTCAGACCATGATAGGCCAGCTTACACTATCTTTCAGCATGTACAAATTTCACTTTTAAACTATTAACAGAGTTCTCCTTTGGATGATAACTTAAGTGCTTCTGAATTGTCACTTGATCCTCTGGAAACTAGAGCTAATGCATATGCTATGTGGGGATTATTATTTTTTTATCTGATGTGAAAGACACTGAAGAGAGTTTTGTCCAGCCGACTCCCCTCCTTGTACCCCTTCTTTGAGCTTCAGAGGGTTTCAGTTAGCCCTTTTTATAAGGCAATTGTGCTTCAGCAAATGGGAAAGTGTCACAAGTTCAGAAAGGTTTTGTAACTCATACTTGTGTTCTTCAAACAATATGGCTCTGTGTGATGTGTGGAGGAACTTTCACAATAATTAAGCATGATTTTAACAAACTCTCTCAAATACCAATGCAAGTAGAAAGAGGCTTCGGAGAGAAATTTCAGCCTTGCAGGGTTGCAAGGATCAGTCTTGGGCAAGGTTCATGTATTTCTGGTAAAGTAATTGCCACATGGTGACTGTTGTTGAAGCAGGTGGACAAATAAATCTATAATTCCATTTTGTTCAATAGTGCTGTGAAATCACAGGACTTTTGCTAAAATAAATAAAAGATTCCAAGATCTAGGTTGTGTGTGGTTTGTTTTTTTTATTCAATTGTGTAATGTCACTGAATTGCTTAGATTTATGTCACTGTTGGAAGAGAGCCACAGTCCTAAAATAGCCAAAACGAGTCTGGTGTCACCTTTTCAAATTAACAGGCTTTATTAAAAGCAGTAAGCTTTTGTGAAGTAGAGTTCGTGTCATAAGACGTGTGGGGTAGATTTAAGTACTTGCCTAGATCTGCCTTCCCCAACCTGATGATCTCTAGTTATAAGTTGGAGTAGAGTTCCTATTTCTGTATATAATCTATTTAACACATCAGAGGCATCCCTCCCCTCCTCCACCAGTTGAAGAAAGCTGGCCTAGGTCAGGGGTCTCCAACCTTGACAACTTTAAGACTTGTGGACTTCAACTCTCAGAGTTCATCAGCCAGCAAAGCTTCAGCAAATGGGAAAGTGTCACAAGTTCAGAAAGTAACTCATACTTGTGTTCTTCAAACAATATGGCTCTGTGTGATGTGTGGAACTGGCTGAGGAATTCTGGGAGTTGAAGTCCACAAGTCTTAAAGTTGTCAAGGTTGGAGACCTCTGGCCTAGGCAATCGTTTCTAAATTAAAAGAATAGACTGTACACTTTTCAACCAGTGTATTTATCCCATAAACATTAGGACATTACCTGGTTGATTTTTGCAATCCCAAAAATTATATGATTATATGGTAGTTGTAGTTAGGACTTATAAGAATTTATTTTGTTCTAAACATAGCCCATTATACTTCAAAAACAGAAGTCAGAATCTAAGACGGCAGCTTTGTGTATTTGGTTCCAGCCTCTAATCCTTCTTCTGATGTGATGCAGATGACCGCTATTTTTTTTAAAAAAAGCTGAAATCCTTCTGATTATCAGCCGTTAAAGAAAGGGAGTGAAGACTAATTTGAGTTCTTTTTGCTCCCTCTACGCCAGCTATTTAAAAACAGACCTGCATTTTCGGTTCCAACTGTTCCAGGTGCTGTTTGGGGATCATCGTCTTAGTTTATCAAACACTCTGATCATCATCACCTGGATGGTTGTGTGTGTGCATCTGGAAATGTGTTCAGCGTTGTGTATAAACATCTCTGTGGCTGCGATTGGCTTTCCTCTGTCTTGTTGACTTACTGTTTTGGCATTCTATAAACTGCACTGCCACGTTCTGCTCCATTCCGAGAGTGTGTGCTTTCTTGGCCGTTTGTTTTATTATGTTCCCTTTCCAATCTCTTTCGTCTGTATTCCTTTTTTTTTTAATTGGCTCCCCTCATTCTCAGTAGGCTTGTAAGCAGACAATGTAAGGAATCCCTGCCAGCCCTTTGGCCCATTCCTCTCTCCCCCCACCCCAAGGACTCCCCCTCCCCTCTCTTCCTCCACTCTGCATTTGTTTTTTCTCCTCCTTAATTGCACCCAGGTTTCCTGGGTGGTCCATCTGCAAACTAGATAATGGTGGAGTATCTCAGCCTGCCTGAAGTTGATGTGTCATGCTTTTGATGAGGCCTCTTGAGTACCTTCTAAGAACCATTCTGTCTCTTTTTTTTTTCTCCTTGTTTGTGTCCTGGCTCTTTCACACCTGCTTGTGTGTGCTTGCCTCTTTCAGAAAACAGGCATATGGAAAATCAGTGCAGTGGGAATTTTCTAATAGTGCAATCTAAGGATAGATTGGGATACATTTTTTAAAAAAATGAGGTTATTTCCATTCTTTCCACTCACCTCTGTTTGAGGCCCCTGCTGGGTAATTATGCTGTTTTGATTTAGCATGAAATCATCTAAGAAGATGTATCTAATTATGGCCAAAAATGTAGGAAAACTGTAAAATGTCAAAAGGATAACATTATGTTGTTTATATGTGCATAATAATTTACTTGTAATTTTAGAAATAAGGGCTGTAATTTAGATAGAAATACAGTAATGTAATATTTTACCAGTGGTGGGATTCAGCCAGTTTGCACCACTTCGGGAGAATCGGTTGTTAACTTTCTGAGCAGTTTGGCAAACTGGTTGTTGGAAGAAATCATTAGGGCAGAGAACGGGTTGTTAAATTACTTGAATCCCACCACTGTATTTTACCATGATGGGAAAGACTAAGATTTGGCAAGTTGTTGGTCACCTGCTCTGTTTGGCCTCCAGGGATTACCTGTTGGTGGGCTGCTTCAAAGTCCTTGTCTCCATTGTGGGTGTGGGTGTTTTTAATCTTTAATCTGGTTTTAGATTCTACAGCCTTCAAATAAAAAATTGTCCATTATCAGCTCTTCAATTGTTCTCTGTAAAGTAAGACAAATCACATGAAATTACAGTTGATTTACTTATCAAAAATTGAGTTTCGGCATTTGTAGTTGTACAGCTACATCTCCTCCCAATTTCTTCAGTATATAAATGTCATTTCTACCGGGAATAGACATTCTTGCAGAATATTCCACCAAGAGATCTCTTTCCACCCCCCTGCCCCAAAATCTGGATTATAAACAGATTTATATCTGTCATCGTGATCTATCATCAAGATCTGGTTTTCTAGTTCCATGTTTTTTCGTTTCTTAAAATATCAGAAAATAAGATATCCCATTCAAAGATCTATAGAAATAACTTGCAGTGCCACAATCCCATCTAAATCAGTAGGATCCTGACTTTCAGTGTGGAAAATTCTGTTGCACAGGAGACGTCAGTACCAAAGAGGAGTCCTACCAATGCCTGCTACTAGATATGTCTGGAAGTACTGAGAAGTGCTTGACACACTTCAAATTTGGTTGATTTTCTGAGGTAGACTTAAATTGGCTGTTTTGGTGTCGCCAAATGACATTGTGTTTTAAAGATGGATGTGTGGTGATAAGATTCAAGCTCATAATACCTCACTGTGGTACAGTATAGAATTTTAAATACAAGATCAGTAGTTATTGTGTAAAACTATAAAGGTTTTTTATTTTTATTTTTATTTTTTAAATTAGATTTATATGCCGCCCTTTTCCGGAGACTCAGGGCGGCTTACATTGCATTAAGCAATAAGCAATTTAAAGCAACTCTCTCTTTAGAAATGACCTGCTTAATAAAAAACATCTTAGAAAAAATTGCTCATAATTTCCCATTATCATGAATTAACTCAAACCACAACTGAAGGTTTCTCATAATGAGAGAGCGCGAGCACCCTTCCCCTAAACATGAGATTAGCTTCAGCATTGTTAGTCCTCCATAAACAAGTTGAGATGGAGCTTTTCTAAAGTTTTTTTAATTACTTGAGAAGATGACAGTGTTTTTATTGCTCTGATTAAGTTGTTGGTTTTAATGTATTATATTTATTATATCCTGCAAGTTTTATTTCTATGTTTATAATTATGCTTTCTTTACACTGCCAAGAGTTGTGTGATTGTGGTGGTCTAGAAAACTAATAACTAAATAAATAATGCAGGAATGTAGATTTAAAAATAAAGATTGTAAAGTTATGCAGAGTTAAGGCAGCTGTGTAAGCATGCATTTTTTTAAAAAAATAGCCTTAAAAAAATACCTATGGATTTTCTTGTTTAGCAATTCCT